TAGGCACTGTGGCTCCATGTCCAATACCTAGGCAAGTTGTAGTTGAAATGTACACTCCAAGGGGCTTGGGCAGCCCTGCCCCTACTGCATTTTTAGTTTCAATCCTTGTGGTCTATTTCTTGAGGTGGCTCCACTCACTGCTTGTGTTTTTCTCAGCAGACGTTCCACACTGCTGGCTTCCTCAGTTTCCTGGGGTCGCCACTGCACTCTCAACTTCATCTCACAACTTCAGGTACCGCCCTCTTAGGACCACACTGCCTGGCCTCCCAGGCCTTGTAAAATCTGTGTAGAAAACTCTATAATCTCTTAACCTCTATATTCTGCATACCTGTAAAACTGGCACTATGTGGATGAAGCCAAGGTCTGATGCTAGCCTGAGCAGTAGCCAGCCCCGCTTGGATCTTGGCTGCAGTGGCCTCTGCATGAATAGATGACTGAGCTCAGGCAAATATTTTCCTGTGTAGCCTGTTAATGAGCAAGGCACACTGGGCTTTTTTTTTTTTTAACCCATACAAACATTTAATCTATCTCTGCCCAGGTGCAGTGGGTGAGAGGGACATACAGAGAGCTCTAGGAATGGGAGGGTGGCTCTGGTGGGATGACAGTGCCCTAGAGGTCATGGGATAAGGAGGCCTCCAGAAGGCAAGGCCATGAGCCAGGGAGGTTATTTTGGGAGCAGCCACCCCAAGGCAAGCTGGGCTGCCTGGAGGCCAGAGCAGGCCTCCTGCAAAATCTATTGCTGAAACATGTGTGGATGGCCAAAAGGATAACTTCAAGGGCTTCCTGAGGACCTCAGAGAAGGATCTTGAGGGGCAGGGCTGGGTTACTGTGGCCCCCACTTGAGTCAGGCTCACACTAGAACCCAAGGAGGAAAGCATTGCCAGGGCTGTGCTTGTTGGGCAGAGATGGTAACTGCACCAGTCAACTGATTTAAATTAAAAAATAATAAAAATAACAATATGAAAGAAAAAGATAACCCCTGTCTCAAACAAGCCCATGACACTACTCTGCCCCACATGTGGACCAGGGACCAGAGGCTGGAAACGGGGAAAGGGCAAGGGCCATGGCAGCGGCAAGATCCAGGCTGGCCTCAGCATCTGTCCCACCTGTCATTTGTTACCCAGGTGCACAGGATTAGCTTTCAGGTTTATTGCCCTTTTCGCAAATGGCCTAGAGTGGCGGGGGGCAGTGTCATGGCTTGGTCTTGGTGTCCTCCTGGATATCCCAAATTACCAGGTGCACATAGGTACTGGCATCCTCCCTGAAGCTGTGCCTGTCCACATTGCCCTCAATGATCTGTCTAAGGCAGTTAGCTCTGAGTTTCCAGAAAGAGTGCTTGTAGGGGTGGCCTGGATGGTGTGGGGAGAGCATGGCTATGTCTGCCACAGTTCTACAGATGACCTTCAGCAGGTCACTCACCAGGCTGTGTGTGATGAACATGGTGTTGGCACTAAACATGCTTTACCTGCACAATCTACAGTATGATGCTCATGTCCTGGAGATCATCCTCTGTCATCCTGGAGAACCTGGTGGTGTAGTCCCCAGTCTTGTTCTCAAGCTTGATAAGGGTGCCATACACCACTTTGGTACCAGTGTCCACCACCATAACACAGGTCAGTTCCAGGCCATACATAATGTAAGAGGGCTTGCAGCTAAGGGCATAGATCCTTGTGTGGGTGTCTTTCTCAAAGGTGCTCATGCAGTCCTCAGTGTTCTCCTTCTGGCCATCTTGTACATGTCGCAGCTAGAGATTCTGCAGGAGGGATCCTTGGGATTCTCCTCAGCTGTGAAGATAAGAGTACCACCTATCCTCACAGGGTGGGAGAAGGGGTGGCTATTCTTGAGCTGCTCCTGGGGAAGCATGTGTCCCTGAGTCAGCTGTACAGGGTGGCCCCTTTCTGTCCTCCACCTGGCGGCTTCTGGACCAACTGCACGAGAAGCTGGTCTTGGCAGCCATCTTTCCCCCAGCACCACTGTAAAGGACCCAGTCCTACCATTGGGTTTGCTGATGCTGGTCACAGCACTAGAGACGAGCCCCCTCTGCTTCATGAGTGTTCACAGTGACATTTGGGTAGATATTCTTGCAGGAGCTGTAATAGTAGGCTTCTTTCGTGATGGCCTGCTGGTTGGATGGGCACACCCACAGGCACTCAATGAACAGGCTGAGACAGCATTGGTAAGTGGCAGTGCAGATCTTGCCCCAAAACTCTTTTAGGATAATGGGTTTCTTTAAACTTTGTATATGGACTGTTTGCAATGTGCTTGGGGTGAGGGGTGGTCTTGGATGCCATCCCTGATGGTGTGCAGGTCTCCAGCATGGGCTTCTGGGCTCAGGGTCATGGGGTGCTTGGCTGCTGCTGGATGAAAGGGTCCTCTGGGCACCTGTGGGGGCTGTGGTTAGGTGGGGATGGGGCACATGTGTGAGATATAGACAGAGGCAGATTTCTCTAGCTGTTGCAGGGCAGCCCATAGTCAGCTGGCCAACTCCCTCTGTACTTGGTGGGTCCATGGGTGGCACATTTCCTGTGCCATGGAAGCCAAGCTGAGAGCACTGCCAAGCCCCTCCTAGGGGCCTCTGCCTCCTTACTTTGCTCTGCAAAATATATGAGATTCTCTTCTGCTCCAGAAACAGAGTGGTCAGGCCTATGTGCACTTTTTGCTCTTCTTGTCCTTGGGAGACTGCCGTGCCTGCAGGCCTTGTCCTCTGTCTTCACACCAGTGGACTTATTGAAGATCTGCAGGAACTCCTCCATGGAGCCCAAAAGTCCACTTCCTTCTCCAGGACCAAGTAGTCCACATCCTCCTCCTCTGCCACCTCCCCCGACCCTGAGGAGGTAGAGGAAGAGGATGAGCAGGAAGATGATGAGGCCATGGTATGCTGGTGGTAGGAAGCTAGGGAGTGAAGGTAGAGGTAGGCAACAGGGAGGCCTTGAGCCACTCGGACAGCTGCATTTTGGAGAAGACCAGGCTGGAGTCCAAGTTTCAGTCCGACTCCAGGTCCAAGCTGAGGATGGGGAGGGTAAGGGACCAGATCCATGGTGTCGCAGGAGCCCATTCTGGTTCTTCATCTTTATTATCATCCCTAAAAGACTGAGTATGGCTCAGGCTCCTGTTCTTCAGCTTGGGAACTTCCCGGGAGGCTCCCTTGTCCAATGAGCAGGACTTGGGCTCCCCACCTTCCCAGCCTGAGCCTTTCTGCCACCTTTCCTCTCTGGCAGCTACTGGGGGCTGGGACAAGCCTCTCAGACCCGGGACTGTAGTGAACATGGAAGCAGCTAGGGGAAATCCCCATGCTGCAGGTAGCAGGCAAGATAAGAAACGCAGCTTGAGTGTTAGCTTGGAGTGGTTTGGAGTGATTAGGTTTGCAGTGAGATCATACTAAGTGTGTTAAGGGTGTGACAAGCTAGAGTGAAGTCATTACAACCTGCTTGGAGTGATAGCAATGTGTGAAACGTGTGATAATGATAAGAAGAGGTATAAAAGACCCCAGGAACAGACCAACATCGTCCGCCCTTGACGACCCGTCAAGTGGACCCGCCGAAGCTCTGCCCGAGAAGCAGACACTCTGCCAGAGACGCTCTCCCGTTCGAGACGTCAGATGCCGGAGAACATCACGAGACCTTGAAGCACGTCGCAGCGCGACCCTGCCGTGTCCAACACCACCGGCGCCACGGACTCAGGTCGTATACCAGGACTCTTTCCCGCAATGACTCTAGCCTAGCCTCGGCGCCTGCCCAACTGCCATGGGCTGGCACTTCATTACCCCAGGCTGGCACCTTGCTTACATTCCTTTGACTATTGCTATGCTTATCTTCATATTCTCTTGTGTGTGCGCGTTTGATGATGTAATAATAAATGAGACTATTCTCGAAAAGCCACTTGTAGTCAATTAATAAACGTGGGATCCCGAAACGTAAATCGGTGCTCGCGACAGGGACCCACCCCAGTGGGGCCATCAGTCTTCCCACTAGGTGGCTGAAGACGGTTTTTTCTTAAAATATGAGAAAATGAAAAAATTGAAATAAAGTATTTGTAAATGGGGAGAGGAGGAGGGGGTGAAGGGAGGGTAGGGACAAGGGGAAAAATGAGAACCAAGACCTGTCATGTGAAGGTACAAGATCCCAGTAATAAATGTAACTGTACTGTATACCTAGAATGTACCAATAAACTCAATGAAAAGAAAAAAGAAAGACTTTTTTTTTCTTGGTCTTCCTCAGCCTCAGCCTCTGAGCTACTCCCCTTGTGCTACTGTAGGCTGCTGGCCTGCCAGCTCCTCTTATATGGCCCAGACTTATTCCAGTCTGCCTTCAGTCGTAGTTCTTTGTCTTGTTTTCTTACAGGACTTCTCTTTGTGACTGTGAGTGGGTGGAATCACATTCTTCTTGGGTTTGTCTTCCTTGGGCTGCCCCCACCCTGCAAGGCCCTGACTAGAAAGCCAGGCTTGGCTTGGGGTGCCATGTCCAGGCTCTTCAGGGCTGCCTGAGGTCCCCTATATCGTATTGCACAGTTATCTCTTTGATCTCCCTCAGGTCACCCTCCTCAGGCTCTGGAACTTCCCCAGAGGATGGCTTCCCAAAGGGCTTGATCTCCAGGCCACGCCCAGCCTGGGGGGTGAGGGACGGTCTGGCCATAGCAGGCCCTTTCCTGCCTGGGGGCACAATGACAGCATCTTCTGAGTCTGAGAACCTGGCATTACAGCCACCAAAGTAATCACAAGGCTTCTTGATGGTGGGCATGTAGAGCCCAGTGTCATGGGGACCCTGGAGCCACTTAGTGGCCCTCTTGTCCCTGGAGCTGACCCTGATAAAGTACCTGGCTGAAAAGGTAGATAGAGGCTCATACTCCAGAGCAAGTCCCTGTCTCAGGAAAAAGTATGGTTAATCACTGAGGAAACTGACTAGCCCGGTTTTTTAATAAATATATGTTTATTACTACTCATATAATTAAAATTCAAGGCATCTTATGTTTAGTATGCACCCACTTGAGGCCTGACTAGAAGGTAGAACTCTACTCCCGAGGAAAGGTAACTAAGGAGCTGGAGCTCAGCCACTGGCCACTAGAGGGCAGCATAGGAAAGTATCGACCCTGCCTACAAGCGCACACACACGCACACATACACACACACCCCAACGGAGAGCTCCTCTGGAAACTTTAGGTGCCTTCAGGTGATCCTGGACTACTGCATGTCTTCGTGCAGCACCAAGTTCTTAACAACTAAGTATTTTCTTCCAAGAGATTAAAAATGGCAGATTAAGGACCAGCAGCAAAATAAACAGCCTCTCTGGGATCACGCATGGAGAATACCTGGAAAACAAATTCGTAAAGGAAAGAGTAAGAATTACTTACAAAAAACTTATCTGTAAAATTGAACCCAGCTATACAATTTTAGCTATCTAGACTCTTAACAGTCTTTGCTTTAAAACTATTAAAATATTTCTTAACAATGAAAAAAATAAAGACCTCACTAAAATTAAAATAAGGAACATTTCATCTTTTAAATATTTAATTCTTTTTTTCTCACTGAGTTTATTGGTACATTTTAGGTATACAGTACAGTTACATTCATCATTGGGATCTTGTACCTTTACATGACAGGCCTTGGTTCTCATTTTTTCCCCATACCCCTGCCCTCCCTTCACCCCCTCCTCCCTTCCCTATTTACAAATAATTTATTTCCATTTTTTCATTTTCTCATGTTTTCTTTTCCCTTATTTCCTTTCCCCTACCCTTCCCACTTCCCTTACACCTTTAGCCCTTTTCTTCCTATTTTGCATTGTCAATTGTACCATTAGGATCTTATGTACCATTATAGTTTTTCACACCAGAGAAACTATTCAGTATTTATACATGTGTGTCTTATTTATTTCACTTAGGAGTATATCCATAATATGTATCCATTTTCCTATGAATGACTCCAATTTCTCATTCTTTGTGGCTGAGTAGTATTCCATTTTATAGAAAAACCACATATTATTTATCCAGTTTCCAATTGATGGGCAAATGGGCTGTTTCCAAGTTTTAGCTATTACAAACTGTGCCGCTATAAACATAGGTGCACATATATCGCTATGATATGATTCTTTTAATTCTTTTGGAAAGATACCCAGCAGAGGGATGGCTGGGTCAAATGGAATCTCTAGTCTCAGCTCTTTGAGGTATCTCCATATTGATTTCCATAGTGGTTACACCACTCTGCACTCCCACCAACAATGGAGAAGGGTTCCTTTCTCCCCACAACCCTGCCAATGTTTTTGGTTGATTTCTTGATAGCAGCCATTCTTTATGGGGTGAGGTGGAATTTCAGTGTTGTTTTCATCTGCATCTCTCGAATGACTAGTGATGTGGAACATTTTTTCATATATTTACTTGCTGCTTTTACTTCTTTGTCTGAGAAATGTCTGTTCATTTTAGATGCCCATTTAAATATTTAATTCTTATGAGTACTTATTTCCACATAACTTTTGTGATGATTCTTAAAAGAATAAGTGGTTCATGTAAGGGTACAAGATCCCAATGATGAATGTAACTGTGCCATATACTTTAAAAGTACCAATAAACTCAATAAGATTAAAAAGAGAATAAGTGGTTAGCTAATAGCATTATTAATGCTTCTGCATATTGTAGAATTTTTAATAGAAGGAAATCAGTTTCCTCTGAGAACCACTATTAACAGCATATGTATTTCCTTAAATTTAGTTTCATAATTATAATGGGTGCCGCAAATGCATTTTCACATTGCAATAAGACGTGATGAGATGAACTGTTAAAAAAATATCAGAAAGAAGTGTGAATTTGGATAAAATCCTTTCACTCTATATTTTTTTAAAGATTTTTATTCCTTAATGTAAAATGACTACCTAAACTTTTAACGTAAACTCATCAAATTCAAAAAGAACAAAAATCAAAAAAAGAAAAGAGTAGATCTCTGGGAATTAGGAGGGAAGTGAGACGAAAACTAGAAGCCACAGAGAAGCTGGAGAAATGCAACACAACAAAGAGGAAAAAAAACAAAGCAGTCTGGAAACCCAACCGTAGCTCCCAGGGAGAAGAACCCGCCTCCTCTAATAGAAATAAGCCCGGAGAGGTTCTGCAGCTCCAAAGAGAAACAGCAGCTGGGGCCAGCAGTACTAGCCCCAAGAAAAGCACACAGTTACAGTGAATGGCCAAAAACAACATGGAGCTTCACTCTGAAAACGGCTCCTTCTGTACAGCAGAATGGAAGGAGTTGGAGAAGAAACTCAGCAAACCACCTGACATATTTGACAGTATTTAATCAGGGGCCATTTTGAAAATGAATTAATTGTTTAAGATTGAGCCAAAACAACTACAAAATAACTGCACTTCCGGGATTCTGGTATTAGAGACAGCTAAATTAGTAAGAAATATTGCAGACAGTTGTTGTGGACCAGTCATTATGTGTATAGATTGGTGGGGGACAAACTACACGCCCCAAAGTCACAAGACAGACATTGACTTGCTTCTGGAATAGAGAAGTCTTTGTAGAAGGCCTCAGGCTTCCTGGCCGTGTGGGATGTAATCCCTTAACTCCAGTGCTCCTGAGGCAAGATGACATCTGCTGAAGATAGCACAAAGAAAGCAAGTACCCAGGTATGAGAAAGGATCTAAACTTGTTTCTTTTGTGATGCTAAACTTGTTCCTCATTCTACTACTTCATAGTTACTGCAGCCACTATTTCAAGAAAAATATACTATCCTCCTGCTGTGCTCCTCGCTGGCTAAAAGAAGTGGGCCGAACTGAGCTTGTCTTTTGCTCGGTCAGGGCACTGACCTCTGGGGGTCCCTGTACCTGCAAATTTGTCTTGTCTTTCTTTATCCCTTACCACCACACCCCACTGAGCAGGCACCCAAGGGCCTGCTCAGAGCTCAGAAATTGGTGCCTGACCAGGGACTTAAACTGAAGCCTGAGAGAGACGACCCTCCACGGTGAGGCAGAGGAAACAAGGTGACAGAGGGATTCTGTCGGACGAAGTTGGAAACATCCAAGAGACAGTGGAAGATAAGCACTTGGCATGACAGATTGTTTTCACCCCCCAGTATAATGGGGCATAATCTTTCAGGGAAGAACAAAGATGCGTACAATTACTGCATATGCTGCTGAAATAAACTGGAGCTCAAGTTAGCTCTGCAATTAGCACAAATGTTACAAGAAATTATCAAGCATAATCCGTGGTTACCACAGGCAGGAACTTTGGATACTGATAATTGGGATAAGGTGGGTAAAAACTTAAAAATAATCCATACCCAAGGGGAACAGATCTCTCCAGAGAACTTCTCAGTATGGGGTTTGGTTCTATCTCTTTTGGGCCTGTTGAGTACAGCAGCCCAAGATGTTTTTGTTCGTATTTCAGAGAAAGAGCAAATGTGTAAGGGCAAAGGTAAATTGGCATGGCTCACCCTCTACTACTAAGGGAAGACCCCCAGGCTGAAGAGGTGAACAAGGAAACTCCCTGGCCTGCACCACTTGACTACCTAAGCAAAAAAACATGTCCTTGCATATCTAAATACCAACAGTTTATATGGGAGGTTGCCATGGGCCATGTTGCTTCCTGATTATTGCTAGACCTAACTCTGATAACCTAGATCAGGTAATGTGCAAATATCAGGCAATTGAATACAAACTTCTTAAAGAATTAGACTCCCTTAAATTATAGAGTTGAGAGCCCTGTTACTCTGGGAATTTTAGACTGTGTCCAGGGAGCCATGCACTTAGACACCTTGCTTGTTCCTGTTTGTCACCTAGTCAATGTCTTCATTTTAATATTCAATTACAAGAATGTGCAGCTGAACAGTCTGCCAGAAAAAGGCATGGAAATAAAGTCAATATTACTGAGAAAATGCTGCTAGGGGCAGTAGTTTTTGTGGTTCTGGAGCAACAGTTAATCTACCCTAGTGAAGTTTATGAACAAATAAGCTTGCTGATGAAAAGAGCATGGTTCACTGGCCCTGAGGACAGGATACCCATTCAGTCCTTCTTGCATATTCTGCAGGGTTCTAGAGAACCATGCACACTATTTATTGATAGGTTACAAGAAGCAGTTCATAGACAGTCTCTCCTGTGTGGGCAGCAGACATTCTTATTCTTAACTCATTTAAGATAACACTAATCAAGATGGCAAACAGGCTTTAGCTACCAGTAAGGCTACAAAAAATTTAAGAAATTATGTTAAATCCAGTTAAAACATAGGCACTGTAACTTATGAGTTACATGCTGTCACAAGCATGTTGAGCCTTACAAAGAGGAATCATAATAATAATAATGTTTTAATTGTGGAAAAATAGGACATCTCTGTAAGCAGTGTACTGCTCCTATTCAATCAGGAGTTTCTATCATTGCTGCCAATCAAGGATATAATAATCCCTCTGGGGGAGCCAGGAATTTAGTTCAGTGGTGCTGCCACCTGCCTCGTGTATGTAAGGACCTGAGTTCCATGCCCGGTACCAAAAAATCCCTCTGGGGAAGATGCAGAACTCTTCCCTCCTCTGTGCCCTCACTGTGAGAAAAGAAATCACTGCGCAAGACACTGTCGCTCCAAATACCATAAAGATGGTACCTCTCTGGTGGGAAATGGGGGCCAGGCAGGGGTGACTCCCACCTTGGACCAGAACCTCAGCCAAATTTATCTGGTGCAGATTTGCCAATAGCATATACATTGTGTCCCTCAATTGCAGAACCCCAGGAAGCAAAGGACTAAGTAGATCTCCCTACAGCCCAAAAGGTGACCTTTTAGGAAGAGACAAACCCATTAAAATACCCACTGTAATTTGGGGTTCCCCACATAAAGGCACTGTAGGATTAATTAAAGGGAAAGCTAGTCTAAATTTATAGGGTATAACTATAATGCCTGGAGTAGCTGATTCTGATTATGAGCAAGAAATTCAAGTTGTTGCTCATTCTATGGATATTTGGGTTTTTGAACCAGGTGATTATGCTGCTCAACTGATACTTCTCCCTCTAAGCAATCACGTTTTGGTTTAGGAAAAAAATTGCAAAGCACTCTCAAGCCATTTTCAGTTACTTAATCAGGTGAGGGATTAATTTATGAGCAGGAGTCAATGAACATTCTTGCCTCAGGAAATGATGAACGACCCCACCTTGTGTCAGCATTTTGTAAGCTATCTGGAATACAGATTTTCAACATGTTATTTTAACCCCTGGACTCTGGGCCCAAAGATCAGAAATAATTGTTATTTTATGTATTATAGAGTTTACTAAGCTGACTCCTATAAATATCATCAGTGATTCTTATGCAGTAATTCTTACTCAACAGAGAGAGAGCACCACTTTGTGGGCCACCTTGGGTCCCCCATTATTTAGTTTAGTTCTCAGGTTACAATAGGCAGTTCAAAATCACTCTGCACCCTTTTTTATTGGGCATATTAGATCACACTCTAATGTACCCAGACCCTTAGGATATGGCAATCAACAGGCTGATTCTTTAGTAGCCTATGTCACCCCTTTTGATTTGACATGACAATCACATTTGTATCATTCACCATAACAGTAAAGCTTTAACAAAATAATTTCAATTATGCCATTCACAAGCTAGAAAAATTGTCTCCTTCTGTCCTACTTGTCAGCACATCCTATCCATCCTGAAGGATTTAACCCTGGGGGGCTTAGACAAAATGAAATTTGGCAAATGGATATTATTCATATTTCATCATTGGGACAATACAACATGTTCATGTGTCTACAAATACTTATTCTCATATGACTCATACCATATGCCACGAAGGTGAAAAAGTAAGACATGTTCACAAACATTGTCTATCACTGCTTTCCACAAATATAAAGACAGATAATGGTTCCTCATATGTTAGTGAGGCTTTATCTTATGTTTTTCAACTCTGACATATTAAACATGTTACAGGTATTCCTTATAATCCTCAAAGCCAAGCAATAGTAGAACATGCCCACCTCTCCTTAAAAATACAAACAGAAAGGAAAAATACAGTTACCTTCACAAGCCCAATTAGATCTTGCTACTTTTAAATTTTTTGAATCTGCATGTAGAAAGTAAATGCACTCCATCAGAACTCCAATGGCAAGAAAGATTCACCTACAAACCTAATGCACAGATCCTGTGGAAAGATACCCAAACAGGTGCATGGGAAGGCCCCATAAAGTGAATAATGTGGGGATGAGGGTATACTTGTGTGTTAACAGACAATGGAAGGCCATTGGGGCTGCCCCCCTGGAATGTGCAACCATGGAAAGAGGAACATCCCAGCCCCATGGTGGAGCCTGTTCCCATCTGATCCTCCATTGCAAACATTCTCAAGGATGACCCTAGAGGAGAGTACAACACCTCAAGTACTGAGATCCATGCAGGCTGCAAAACCCATGACATGGGGACAACTGAAGAAGACAATGCAGGAGGCTCACACACTGGTGATGCAACAAGGCCTCCTGCAAACCCCTGAGAATGTTTGTTTGTTGCTATGATGGCCATCATAGCCTGTACTGTATGTATGACACCAGTTTCAGGAAATAAATACTGGGTTTAGGTACCCAACCCTCCTTTACTCCAACCCATCATCATATGGACATATTTCCCTCCCAAGATTTATCATGATCAATTGGATTGGGCACCCAGTCCTTCCATGGCCTCTGAAAATATGAGTTCTAAAGCCACTTTAAATTACATCTCTTGTTTTACACATCCACCCCTATGTGTTGAATATAGAACATTACAATCTAAATATTATCTTCCAGCCCATCCTCAATTCTGGATGGCACATGATAAAGAGCAGTTTCCTTTTTTAGGATTGGGTTTAATTAATATATCTGGGGAATGGATTGATTCCTCTGCCCCTGATGTGTCTCCATGTGTAACTACTACAGACTGGGTGGATTCATATGAAAATTCTCCCCTACCATAGATCATTTGTGAAGGAAAAAGAGGCAAAAATGTATATGGGTCAATTTGAGTTATTGATTGGGCCCCCCAGGGAAATATGACAGGAAGGGCAAATAACAAATCAAAATAGCATGAGGTATCAGGGAAACAAGTTAAGGCTTCAGGTAAAGAAACCATTCAAGAGGGACAATTGGCATGGAAAGGAGCAGATTTTGGCCCCCTGTGCCATAGGCTATTATTAATGATAAGCTTGGGCCTATTATATAGAAGACAATTTAGAAACTAGCCTTACCTTATTATATAGGGGAAATATAAGGAGGGCATAACCAGTATTTTACTTGAAAAGAATAAGACAACTAGGTTTTCCATATGTACTTATAACCCATATGTTTTCCTTATGTCACAGTAGAACAGAATTTGACCTCATTTACCTGTGAAAATGCACTCTAAGTCATCGTGTGCCAACCAGGACCTTAGTCAACAAAACCTTATCAGTCGTGGGGCACATGCCTGGAGTGTGGATGCCAGTTAATCTTACCGAGACTTGGTCCAACACTTCTGTGATACATGTCATGCAATCTCTGATTGACCACCTGCACACAGGACAAAGAAAATGATGGCTTCAGGAATGGCTTCATCGGTGCTATTGATCGCCAGTGTAGCTGTTTCCTCTGTTGTTCTCACTCATTCTCTTCAAACAGCTTGTTTTATAGATGACTGGATGGAAATTGCAGATGAAGCCTGGAAAATACAGCATTCTATCGATACAAAGTTGCAATATCAAATTAGTATTCTAAAAACCACCATAATGTGAATGTGTGACCAGATAGCCTGCAAGTACAAGATCTCCGATGTCATTTTAATATTACTTGATTTTATATAACTCCCTTGCCTTAAAATCAATCAGCTCATCCATGGGGACACATTAAAAATGCATATCCAAGGAGCCATGCATCAAAATATAACTGGTTTTAGAAGCTCTACAGAAGGAGATATTTTCTGTCTCAACAGACTCAAAATCTTGATACTCAAATTAAAGCTTGGGACAAATTTGCTGATACTTTTAATCAGCTTAATCCATGGAACTATCTTAAAGCCCATTTTGGACAGTAAACTGGCTTGTTGTATTAATATGTTTCTGCTTCATACTTTTTACTCATAGTCTGCCGCAAGAGAAGCCAAACTAAACCACACCTACACGCAATTCAGCCTAAAGCCATGCTGTTTCAACTGCTGCAACTACAAAAACAAAAGGGAGAAGCTGTTGTGGACCAGCCACGATAAGTACAGATTGGTCAGGGCCACACTACAGGCCCTCAGTCAGGCAGTCAATGAGGCAGATGCTGACTAGCTTCAGGAATGGGAAAGTCTTTGCGGAAGGCTCCAAGCGTCCAGGCTGGGTGAGATGTAATCCCAGCACTACTGAGGCAAGATGACATCTGCTGAAGATAGCACAAAGAAAGCAAGTACCCAGCCACGGGGAAAGATCTTAACTTGGTTCTTTTATGATGTTAAACATGTTCCTCATTCTCCCACCTCCTTCTTACTGCATTCGCTGTTCCGGGAAAAATACACTGCACTCCCCTTGCACTTCTCTCTGGTTAATGTAAGCGGGCCAAGCCAAAGCGGTCTTGTCTTTAGCCCAGTCTGAGGCACTGACCTCCCAGTCCCCCAGTACCTACAAATTTATCTCTTTTTTTCTTTTTTTTTTTCTTTCAGGTTTAGTAAGCTCATGGTTTATTTTCATGTGAATACATCACTTCTGTTTAAACAGAACCAAAGTCACCTCACTTCCCCCTTAGAACATTGTGACTCAAAGTCTGCTAAACCCCAATCCCTCACAAAACAGACCTTTATAACAAAGTAACAGACAGATACATGTATATCTAACAATCCATCTCTGTCTTTCTTTATCCTGCACTGCCATAACCCCTGAGCAGGCAACTGAGGGTCTAATCACTCGGTAGGCAGTGAGACAGGGCTAGGTCCTGGAAGAAGTCAGTGCGGAAGATAGGAACACATTATAACTGTGGTTAGAGGCACAGTCATCGAAGGTCAGGCCTTAGGATAGAAGCAATGACGATATCTACATACTTCCTAGAGGGATGAGCAGCAATGATAAACCTCTCTGGCCCATCCTCTCCAGGACTTGCTTCCCCATTACATCAATATTACCTAAATGACCATACTTGTAATCTTACTGGTTGACCACAGTTTTGTCCCTCTTTATACCTACCTTGTGATTTTCCATTGGATCAATATTTCTTAACCAACTATACTTGTAACATTTCTCTTTTTTCTTTTTTTTTTTTTTTTTTTTTTTTTTTTTTTTTTTTTTTTTTTGGTAGAGGGGATGGGATCAAACTCAGTACCTTGTGATTGCGAGGCAGGTAGAGAACCACTGAGCTAAATCCCCAGGCAATATACTTGTATTAGTGGACTATAATTTTGTCCCACCTTTATCATACCCACCTCATGATTTTGTACCTACCTTGTAATTTTGCTCTATAAAACTTTCTTGAGAAGGGAAGTCCCGGCCACCCACTTGGGATCCCGTCTGTCTTTCTTAGACAGAAGCTATCTTTCCTCCATTAATGCTTCCTACTCTTAACCTCCGTTGTTCCTTTGAATTTATTTTTCAGTTTTGGGGAACATGAACTCAGTGTATCAGACATCTAGCAGATTGGGAGTTACAGTATTTCCCTTGTATTATTTGGATTATTCGGAGGTCCTTATATTCCCCCCCATATCACTGGGGTCTCCTACCATAGTGACTCAGTGGAAGGTGACCACAAAAGATAGTCATGGAAAGGACCTGAGCTAGACAGAGAACCCCTGAGCTCAGGCTACAAAGGACACAGAGGACACAGCCTCCAAATTGAGAAGTCACACTCGTCATATGCAGCATTCAGAAGGGGCTGAGTCTGAAAGTGATGATATTAAGTCCACTGGACTGACTGACACCCTTCCCCTGCATCCCCACTGCCTAAACCCAACACAGAGTTCACTGAACTGTTTTCCTCATCTACCAACATAATCAGAAATACACCTCGGGTTGTACAGTTACTACAGCCTAGGTTGTACAGAGGAATCTTTGCAGCAGGGTGAGCACTTCACAAACTGGTGAACCTTAGAGCTAGGCAAAGAAAGCCAAGTTCGGGAGTGCACTGAGGGACACAGAAAGAGGGAGGTGCTAAAACAAGCACAGCCTTAGGGCAAACACCATCGACCAGCCATACCCAGCGGTAAAGGCATGGCAGGATTCGGTGTTCACACACAGAAACATCAGAGTGGAAACAATATAGATCTCAGTAGTGGCGTGCTATCTCTCCTTCATATCCAGTGGATTCCAACACTGCAGACCCTGGAAAGAAACCACTACTCAAAAACGCAGATAATTTTTTTGGGGGGATACTCATTTTTTTCTTCATTAATCTTTGGGAAGTTGAAATTTTCTTCTATTTGTTTACTTATTTTCCTCCCTATTTTTTCATTTTTCTTATTTTTCCTTTCTGTTACTTTTATCTAATTCTATTTAAGTTTTACTCCTTAATAGAATCTTTTATCTCTCACTTTTCTCTCCTCTTTTTTTTTTTTTTTTTTTTTTTTTTTGTGTGTGTGTATGTGTGTGTGTGATGGTACCGGGGATCAAACTCAGGACCTAAATCCCTGCCCCATTTTTCTTTCTTTATTCTTCATATTTTACTTTGTCATTTTCCCCTTCCCCACCCCCTCCATCTTCACTAACATTATAATTAAGCTTTATTAATCTTTAGATGTATAGTTGACTATAACTGTTTAATTATTTTATATTGTTAATAGTGGTATAGTTGGTTCATTTAGGACATATTTACTGTAAGTCAATGATTACTTGACTGGGGATTTAGCTCAGTGGCACTGCACCTGCCTCTAAGCACAAGGTCCTGAGTTCAATCCCTGGTACCAGAAAAAACAAACATATTTGCTTTGTCTTTACATCTATATTATAATTGCAGATCTCATCTATTGGTAAGCCCGGTGTAAAGGTAGCATTTATTAGTTCTTATGCATGTCATAATCCAACTTGCTTATGACTTTATTATTGTTGCTGATTTTGTTATTGCCAAGGTGGCATATTTGTTACTATTAGTTGGTATTTGTTATGTGCCAATATCTGGGTTTGTCTTTGTGTCATCAACAAGGCTACAATTTATTTCCAGAGAACTGAGTGGGTACAAATTACAATGCACCTTTCCCTCCCCAAATTAACAAAGCTGATTTGATCCTGTGTCAGTGGTAAAGGCCCATAATTAGCCAGGCTTGGTATGCATCACTACCAAAGATGACATTGACTGAAAAGATCTCCATACTAGTAACTAAGTTTTCCCAATGTAACTGATGCGCGCACTCACACACACACACACACACACACACACACACACACACACACACACACACACACACCAATAGAAAGATTTTAAAAAGAGGTAACAAAAATGCCTCCAGAAACTCTCAACTTCCCAAAAGCTGAGCCATGGAACATTGACGGGGAGGAAATCAAAGCCAGTCAGCTAAATTATATGAAATAATAAAATAAGAAACAAAAAAAGATCACTTTTTTGGTGAGCTCAAAGAGGATATAACTAAAGAGACAATGAACTTAATAAACAAAATGATCAGTGAGCTTACAGAAAATGCCCCAAAAAAGGTAGTGAGCTAAGCAACATGAGGATAGTAACACAATGCAAAGATAGGGTTGATGCAGGTGACTGTTCGGAGATACCTTAAAAGCAAGAGAACATGAAAAATGGATTGAACAGCTGCCGTTGAATAATCAGTGATTATCTGGAATTACTGACAAATCAGAAGACACCATGAATGGTAAAAAATCTGTTTACAGAAATCACAGTAGAAATTTTTCCAAGTATGGAAAAAGAATTTAACATACAAATAGGTGAGGTATACAGAACTCCACATAGTCATGATCAGAAAAGAACTTCTCCATGACACATGACACATTATAGTCAAAAGCCCCAAAGTTCACCCACAAAGATAGAACCTTAAAAGCTGTTAGAGAAAAGTAACAAATCATTTATAAAGATTAACCCATTAGAATTACTGCAGACTTCTTTTTTTTTCCATTAAGATTATTGGTACATTTAAAGTAAACATTACAGTTACATTTATCATTGGGACTGCAGACTTCTCTCTCTCTCTCTCTTTTTTTTTTTTTTTTTTTAGTTTATTGGTACAATCTAGGTATACAATACAGTTATATTCATTACTGGGATCCTGTACCTTTACATGACAGGTCTTGATTCTCATTTTTCCCCTTGTCCCTGCCCTCCCTTCACCCCCTCCTCCCCTCCCCATTTACAAACACTTTATTTCCATTTTTTCATTTCTCATATTTTTTTCCTGTCCCTTATTACCTTTCCCCCACCCTTCCCACAGTTAAAGAAATCTCTGTATGAACATTAAAAATAGGGAATCCTAATCGCTTCTCGGCCTTTTGGCTAAGATCAAGTAAAATTAGGGAATCCTAAAATAAAACTAAAAAGGAAAGTAAAAGAGAAAAGACAATGATGTAAAATTAAAATAATTCTTAATTCTGAATATGAAAATGGTCCCTGAACGTATTTAAATTGCTTCTTGCTCTTGTAGTCTTATGTTATTCTTTTTTATATTATTTAGAGACTATTAGTTTCTGTAATCAAACCCATGTAGATATAACCTTACATATTTAATACAGTGCATTACCCCTGTACAAATGGAAAAAAATTAACATTTCTAGACCAATATGGCTGTTAATTTCTGTACAATGCCAACTCAACACAGTAAATTGGGATAACTTTTTCCAAAGTAGACAGCACAGTTAAAGTTTCCAAAAATTCAAATTATATATATATATTTATATATATTTATATTTATATAAAAAGACCAATAATAGCAGTGTGTTATGCTTCAATAGCAGCAACAGCTTTTCCTGGTTCTGCAGTCCTCTGAACAAAATTATAGACATTCAGCCATGCCATTAAAAAAACAAAAAACAAAGAAAAAAATAATACCCAGAAAACAGCAAAGTTCTATTGCTGTTGTGTTACCTGGCACCATTTTTTTAATTAGCATCTTAATCATCATCTGGAAAGAGAACATTCTAGAGTAACATCATTAAAAATATCTCTGATAAAGCACAGTCACAACTACGTATCATAAAGCAGGTACAAGATATTTTACATTCACAGAGGTATGATACAATACTGTCTACCCAGAAAACAGCAAAGTTCTATTGCTGTTGTGTTACCTGGCACCATTTTTTTAATTAGCATCTTAATCATCATCTGGAAAGAGAACATTCTAGAGTAACATCATTAAAAATATCTCTGATAAAGCACAGTCACAACTACGTATCATAAAGCAGGTACAAGATATTTTACATTCACAGAGGTATGATACAATACTGTCCTACACATACCTTCTTTGTCTCTCTTAATTCGTTTTGGTTTGATGTTTGCTTTGTGTGTGAATAAGATTGCTACCCCTGCTTTTTTCTGGGCTCCTGTCACATGGAGAATTGTTTTCCATCCTTTCACTTTCAGTCTATGTGCTTCTTTTTGCACTAGGTGTGTTTCTTGTATACAACATATTGCTGGATTTTGCTTCTTATTACATTCTGCCAGTCTATTTCTCTTGATTGGTGAGTTGAGGCCACTGACATTTATGGTTATAACTGATATGTACTGACTTATTATTGTCCTGCTATTGGCCTTTTGTTGATTCTTTTTACTTTTTCACCTTCTCCTTTTAGTTTCTTACCTTGCCTATTTGATTTGCTCTATTGGGCCTCATGGTGTTGTTACCTTCATTGTCTTTTTCTAGGATATTGTTTAGAATTGCTTATAGTGCTGCTTTGGTATTCATGTAGTTGGGACTGAAGACTTCTTAACACAAACTTTAAAAGACAAAAGAGATTGGAGTGAACAATTTCAACCCCTAAAAGAAAATAACTTTCAACCCAAACTAATATATCCTGCCAAACTATGTTTAAAAAATTGATGGAGCACCTTTAAAAATTCATGACAACAAACCAGAATTGCAAAAGATCCTGAAGGATATCTTAGAAAGAGAAAATGAAGCCAATAGTGTCAAAAAGTCTAATGGAATGAACATTTGAGGTAGGGTGAGCAGTTATACAGAATGGGGGGCAGGAGTGAAATAATGCCATGACAAAATAAGTGAATAACTTTCTGTAATGACTCTCACTGTGAATGGTCTCAGTTACTCAATCAAAAGAAACAGAAGGATAGGTTAGATCAAAAAATAATATTCCATAGGATGCTATATATAAGAAACACATTTAATCAAAAAAGAAATGCATAGATTAAAAATCAAATAATGGAAAACTATATTTCATGAAATGAGACCCCAAAGATAAGCAAGAGTAGCTATCCTATTTTCAAACAAAGTGGACTTCAAAACAAAACTGATTAGAAGAAGCAAAGGTCAGCACATACCGATAAAGCAAATAATCCAACAGGAAGAGATAACAATTGTAAATATATATGCACTAAATACTGATACTCCCAACTTTATAAAACAAACACTACTGAACATAAAAGATTCAATTAACATCAACACAATTATAGTGAGGGACCTAATAGACAAATCAACTAGACAAAAGAAGTCAACAAAAAAAATACAAGTTGAACCACTCTTTAAACAAATAAAATTAATAGACATCTAGAGAGCATTCTACCAACAACAGCAGAATATACATTCTGTTCAGCAGCACATGGAACTTTCCCCAAAAGAGACCACATACTAACCCATACAGCATGCTTAAATAAATACAAAAAGAATAAATATTATTCCATGCATATTATCAAATCATAGTGCAATGAAACTAGAAGTCAATGACAAAAGAAACCACAGGAATTATGTGCACACATGGAAATTAAATAATACTCTTGAATAATAATGGGTCATAGAAGAAATCAAGAAAGAAATTAGACAGTTCCTAGAATCAAACAATAATATCAATACAGCATACCAGAATCTACGAGACACAAAGCAGTCCTAAGAGGGAAGTTTATAGCTGTGAATGCCCACATTAAAAAAACAAACAGAAAAATCTGAAGTAAATAACTTAGTAATGCACTCCAGGTCCTAGAAAAACAAGAACAAACCAAACTCAAAGCTAGTACTGTACAAGGAAGGGTATTAAGGTCACAGCAGACATTAATGAAATTGTAACTTGAAAAATAATACCAATAATCAATGAATCAAAGAGCTGGTTCTTCAAAAGAATAAACAAAATAGATAGGGCCAGGGGAGGTGGCACACGCCTGTAATTCCCAGCACTCGGGAGGCTGAGACAGGAGGATCGCTGTGAGTTCGAGACCAGCCTGGGCTACATATCAAAGAGCACAAAAAAAATAAAGAAAACATCTAAAAAAAAAAAAAAAAAAAAAAAAAAGAATAAACAAAATAGACAAGTCCTTAGCTAGTCTTACCAAAAAAGTAAAAACCCATAATAATACAAGTTATAATAAAAAAATCACAACAGACACTATCAACAGTATGATTTTGTAGGCTCACACACAGCACCTCCAAGCCAGCCTACCTCACCTACCACACTCCCATCCAATATTCTATCCAGGGAACCTACCCAAGACATATATGCCAGCTCACATCAACCTGGGGACAAGGTTAGGATGGTAAAATCAGCCAGACACAGTACATCACAGGAAAGTGGAGGAGAGCAAGAAGAGCTCAACAGCAAAGCTTTAAGGGCTTGCCTGGTCACTAATAAGCCAGAAACCACAGCACCCAATATGTAAATCTTCAAGCACAGTCAACCCTGACCCAGTGGCTGTTGTCTCTTTCTTTCAAGGAAGCAGAAAGCAGAAAAATATCTGCAGCTTTATTGCAGAGCACCTGCCTCTTCCAGAGTGCAACCAGAATCTCAGGTCATGTTTATGGCACATGCATTTGCACATGGCTGCAAAAAAGACTTTGCTTCTACCACCATGCTTTTCTTCAGGGATGAGTGGAAGAAGCTAGGAAGAAGCAAAGAACCAGGTCCTTATCAAGTGACCTCTTTGGATTCCTCCTTCTTGAACAATGGGGCCAGCCTCACTCCTTGGGGATCTAGAACAGATACCCCTTCATGACACTCTACTTGGAAAAAGCTGCTCTGGTTCTCGGCATCGCTGGATGTGGACTACAGTTTTCTCCTGTCCTCAGGTGGTATCAGATGAGGTACAATAGAAGTGATAGAGTCACAATCCAGCTGAAGAAAGCATCACCTACGTTGAACTCTCCTGTGACCGGTAGGCTGGAAATAGAATATTGAGCTACAGACTTCAAGATGGGTACCGGACACAAACGTTCCAAGCCAGGTAGGGAAGACACCATCCCTCAAACCTTGCCATTGTATCTCTGCCATGAATGAATGATTCGTTGTATGTTACTGAAGTGAGAGCAACCCCCCACCCCCGCCAAAAATACAGGTTGGTTAATTGTGGCAAATAAAAATCAAAAATAGTGTTTCTGGAAATGTTAGACCCAAGGAACATTGCTAAGATAGCTTAACAATAGCACTCAGTGTGATATATAGATGTACACTTAGGTCCTCTCTCACCTCCACAAGCAGTGTAGAATTTATTCTAAGAACCTGATTTTTTTGGGGGGGGTGTCAAATGGGAAGCAGCTTCAGTGATGAGTTTGTTGGGGTGCTTCCCTTGACTCATTTCTATCATTCTTACGATTTGAATCTAAGAACTCCCCAGACTGTCTTATTGACATGTTAAACCAATAATAGCACAATAAAGCAATCTTATCAACGTCCACTGTGGACACTTTATAGAATCATAGACCGTGGCAGAGCTTCACAAATGCTTCTGAGACATCCTTTGCCTTCCAATAACCCCATTCGTGCTAAGGATTTCAACCACTTTTTGGTGATCTATTTTATGTTACAACAAATATCACCACCTCCATTCCTAGCAGTCATTACATGTGTATCCTAAGACTGCATAGCAATAGTCACCTGCTCACACTGTTTATCTCAGATCTCCAAATTACTCACTTAATAAACATAACCCTCACACTGCCGGCTCACCTTTCCCACACCTATGTTCTAGCCCCAAGTGTAAAGGATTATCTCTTACACAGAAGCAGAGATCATCTTTCATTTATTGCACCTTGCTTAAAGATTTTAGAAAAGGTTTAACTGATATAAAGAACAATCTCATGTATACATATATGTCATTTTAAATTATATTTATACATTATGTGTGCATATTGCGAATGTTACCAATGTCAAAATTTACCATTTTTCAATAGCACGCTTTTTTCTGATGACCCTATTGAGTCTAATCTGACTTTTTTAAATCAAATGATCTACAATATACAAACAATAGAAAGAGGATGTATTGTTACTTCTCCTCTGCGATCCCAGGAAATAATTGCAAAGCACAGTTTGTGTAGGCTTTAAGAAAGAATCTGTATTTATACATACATAGAATCTGTCTCAATGGATCATGATATCACACTTGATATACTGCATTTTCACTCTTTCCTGTGACTATGCAGAGACCTACTTCTCTTATTGGCACCTTTATGCATTGTTGCAAAGCTTTAACAAAATCAGCAAATCCAAACTCCTATTGATAAAAAGTTCAGTTATTTTCCCATTTTTTCACTTCTGAAACAGCTCTTTAATGCACACTCTTATGTGTACATATGGGCACTCTTACCACTCATCTACAATCCTAGCATGATCTGAGGAGCGTTTCCTCTACCTGGCGTTCTCTGCCGTGCACTTGTTGCTTCCATGACTTTATTCTCAGTATCTAATCAGAAGCTCAGCCAAGTAGAAGAGCTCTGAGTTCAGTTCCCAACTCTGCCATTTATTGTCACAAACCAGTTACTTTAACTTTCTACGTGCAAGTTTTCTCACTACAAAAGAGAGGATAATATTAAATTTAATTCATAGGGTCTTAGGGATAATTAAATAAGGCTTTCTATGTACAATGTCTGGCACTTTGTAAGCATTCAGTAAATGTCAACCTTTAGATTGATATTGCTTATATATCTGCAGAGGAAATCACTTCCTCTTTAGGATCCATATTGCCTATTCTTCATCAGCAATTTTGCTTACTTAATTTCCACTTGCTAATTTTTCTCTCCTATCTCATCCTCTCTACCTCCTCTTTTTCCCCAATCTCCTGATGAGACCCATTGCTGATTCTGCTATTCAAACTAACTAGCAAAGCTCCCAGTAACAGAATCAAATGTACCCACCTCTAATTTTCACAATTACATTTACTATTCCTCTTGTAAAACTATCATAATGGTCACTATTAGTCTTTAGTCTGTTTTAATTTATCATCTCTGGTCTATTTTGATTTTCAATTCTTCATTTTTTCATTTATTCTGAAAATATCTGTTGCACATTTGCCAAGTGAAGATACTGGACTGAACCTCCCAAATAAAAGGCAAATGAAACAACAAACACCTTTCAGTCCATTGGGGAAGATAGACTCTGTGTGTGCTCTAGACCTGTTGACCTTCTCTCTGTATTCTGCAAAATCAAGTCACCTACTTAGGAATAATATAAAAGAAAGTCTCTGTTGAGCTGCATCTTGAAAGACAATTACCTGATTACAATTTAACCCAGGTGAGCAAAAATGTTTCCCAGCAAAGGAAATGTTTTGTTAAAGCTGGAGGCCAGGGTAGAACTGTAAGGAGTTTACCTTGGTGGGAACAATGTATGGAAAAAGATGGAAATTGAACGTTAAAAGGAAACAAGATGTAATCAATGAAGGGACTCACAGCAAAACAAGACCTTCGGTATTCCTATATATTCAGTATTCCTATATATGGATTACTATATTCCTATAATAATGAAGTTACTATAGAAAGGCCATGGCACAACATGGTTCTATGGTAACTCCAAAGGCAATGCACACACAGTTCAGCTCAGTGAGACCTAAGCTCTACCTGTCCTGTGACAATAGACCAATCCTTCAGATAAAGTCTACTTTTATATGCCGTTGTTCTTCATTCTTGCTCCACATGTAATCCATAGCTCAATTCCAAAATACATTGCAAAGATATGAGCAAAGATTTGATATATAATTAATCTGCCTCTTTTGAAACAATTCATAGCAAGGGAAAAGTTCAAATAGGAAAACATTCTTTGCTTACTATTATCTAAGAGAAGCTAATGGACTTTATGATTATAAAAGTTTAGCATTTGTGAAAGTCCCCACCCTCACCCTAGGAGAGAGAATAAAGAAATGGTTATTTTTAAAATTTGCCTGGTTGTCTTTACAATTTAAATTCAACCTGTGTTTTAAATAATAAGCATTCTAGATGTGGTAGGTTGTTGAAGAAAGGAACCATCTCCCATAAAAATATATCATTTTATAGTATTTTAGATCTCACCTAAGAAAAAAACATTTGCTGTCAGAGAAACCCCGAGCCTTCCACACCTGCTTGAAAAGGGGATTAAGCTTTAGCAGCTGAGCCAAGGGTCTGTTCCTCTTCAGTAAGAAGAGATTTTGTACAGCGAGACAGTGGAGAGCGATCACTGTGGTGGACGTTCGGCGGCGGGACCAAGCTGGAAATCAAACGTAAGTAAAATCCAAATTCTTTCTCCTTCACTCTTTGTGTTTCATGTTCTCTGTGTCTATGAAGTGATTTGCTGACTCTGAAACCAGGTTCTGACATCCTCAAGGGCACAAAAAAAAAAAAATGAGATCTGTAAGGAAACTTTGATAACTGATTGTACATTTTCTATAAAGAGCAAGATTCAGTCGTTTAGTGCAAATAATTTTTCTAAGTGATAGTTTCAAAAATTTACTGGGAGCATAATAGCAGGCTGCAGGCACAGCCTTGCTCAATAGTAGGAAGGGAAACTCAGTTTTTGTATAGGAGGGAGGTAAGAGGAACCACTGTGTGTATACTTTCGGCGGCGGGACCAAGCTGGAAATCAAACGTAAGTATCTTTTTCAACTGATTCTTTGCTGTTTCTGTCTGATTGATTTGCTTTTTGTTGCCTTTTTTGTATTTCTTACTTGGACGTCAGGGATGTTACAAATTTCATTCCCAGATTAAGTACTGAGAGAGACAATTAGACCACAGGAGGCTGGCTGAGGGCTAATTCTTGTGATTTCTAAAGCAAAATATCTTAGTTGGAGAAGGGGGCTTGCTGCCTTCTAGGGGGGTTTTTGTAAAAAAGAGAAGTCAGAGGGAATCACTGTGATTCAATTTTGGCTCAGGGACCACACTGGAAATCAAACGTAAGTACATTTTTTGCTCAATTATTTGTGAAGCTTTAATCCTGTTGTACCATTTGTGTGAGTCTGTGATTATTTTGGTTAAATGAACCATTCCTGGTGACCCAACAATAAGTAGAAAATACCAGAAAGTAGTAAATATAAAAGATGAACAAAAAGGTTTGTGAGGAGAATAAGATGAGGGGGCAGAATGGGAAAGAAATGGCTCTGGTTTTTTTCTGAATTGGCTGGCCTGGTCTGACCAGCCTCAGAGGAAGGTTTTTGTTGAGGAGTGAATGTTAGAGTCATCACTGTGACTCACGTTCGGTGCCGGGACCAAGGTGGAAATCAAACGTAAGTGCATTTTTCTCATCCTTTTTCTTATAGAGGTGTAAAATTTGGGGGCTTTTATACTTGGGGTACAAGTTGAAGTCAATTCTGGAGATAATGGATTTCTTCCAAAAAATCAGACGAGGAAGGGACTGAAAAATCTGTTCCTCTCAAGGAGGAGCAGAGTCAGTCAGTTGAAAGGGCAGCTAAATTGCCAGATTTCCTCTGATCATTGATCTAGTTTGATTAGCAACAACAGCGAAAAAAGGTTTGTCGAGGGGAAAGTCAGTAAGTTAATATCGTGGCTCACCTTCACAAGGCTGATTTTTAAGTGTAAGTAATTTTTCTGTACGGCACTCTGAAACTTAGGTCTAAATTGCCTGTCATACTGACTTTTTAGAGGCTTACAGTAGGAGTTTTACAGGCTTAAAGTAGGAGATGAGTAAATGAAATCACTTCAGGTTTATTATCAGTGCCAAAAGTCAAACATAGCTCCAAAAATGAATTTGGAGACAAAAAAATTAAATTGGGCTAAAATGAATGACTGAAAGAAAAATATCTGTGTAGTGTAGATGAAAAGGAGTCTCTTGGAGCCACAAAGAACAAAAGTAAATTCATTTTTATTGAGTTTTACTAAATAGTGTGTTTTTGTTTATTATAAATGATATAGAAAAGTTTCTTAGTCTGCTTTTTCTTTTGCCTGATAATTTTATAAGACAATTTTTAAAAGTAACAGCATGCTATAAAAAAATCAGTAAAAAGTTAGAAAAGTACAGCTGTTTACAATATAAACGAAGGCTTATTAAGAATCAGCAGCAATGTCATTTTTAGAGTCTAAAATGAGTGATAAAAGGTCACAATGAGAGAGTCTATAAGAATAAGACCTTGACAGATAACTCCTTTTTAAAAATCTAATGTCTGCATTAAGGTATAGTTGAAATGACCTTTTATAATGGTGAAAAAGCTTAGTTTCAAGGAAACTTGTTTTAGATAAAAGAAAGTAAATAATTACATTTTAGAATCCTGTGGGTTGGTAGGAAAAAATGTTAAAGAATATGCTCTTCTAGTTCCCCTAGTTATTTCTTATCTGTATTTTTGTACCGCCAAGGAGACCGTGACACCGCTAGTTTGGTCCATAGACCTCCTGGTGGTCTCTGCCATGATTCAGTGACCCCGTTAGCCATGCCACCGCGGCCCTGTGACAGTTATCCTGGCCGCTAAAGGCCACTGCAAATGGCCTTAGCCCGCGTAACTATGCGGCAGCCAACTTTCCTATTGCACAGTGGTACGAACAGTGCTACTAACAGAAAGAGAATAGATCTGTGGCTAACAGGGGAAAAACCAGTAAGAACCTTATCTGTTAAAGATTTCAGAAATAAAATTCATATTTGTTATACTCCTTAATGAAATTTTCCATTAAGAGACTATAAAAAACAAAATTATTTTTAGTGACACATCATTTCATCTAATTCACCTAAATAATACAAGCTTGATATAAAAAGAAAGAAACGTATTGACTATAACTCTTTACGATAAAAGTCACATTAGCAAAAACTGAATTTAATGCCAGCAATGTAAACACTCAGGTCTTGGTCAATTCACTTACTGAGTTCCCCTTAAATGGTATTATGGCATAGTAACTGACAAAAAATTGGTGCCATATTTTTAATTTTAAAAAGTTTAACTGTTTGGATAAGATATTTCATTCTACAAAATATTCGTTCATATGTAGATGTGATTAAGAAAATCAATATCAACATATTTTCTAATACTCTAATCCTGTGAGAAAAATTGTAAATTTGCTGTTTAATCTCATATCTAAAATAGTTTAATAGTTTGTTTCTGTTATAGTTGATGTTGCTTACCCGCTCTTGCTTTCAAAACCAATAGTTGAGAAGGATTATTTCGGTCTAAATAATTTGCCCAAATTAGTTTAGAAGCCTTTTAAATTCTTTTGAAACCATTTTTAGAACAATTTAAGCTTTTTAAACTACTTTAAAACTATTTCAGGGTCTTTAAAAATTTGTTTTAAAGAGTCTTAAACTTTAATAAAAGGTAATGAGATATCTTGAAACAATTTTCATATTAAATACATAAAGTATTTTAGAGCCAGATGGGAAATTTAGAGTTACCAAGAATTCACCCACATGGGAGGAACTTCATAAAATGTTTTCCTCTGCTTTTTGTCCGGAGAGCTCATAATTTTGGTGCTTCACTTACTTTATGCAATCATTTAGGAAAAATTAGTGACAAAGGTTTAAAGAAAATAAAAATATCAAAAGTAAAAATTCAGTATCTTAGGTTGAACTTCTACGTAAACCTTGAGGTTGGCGTTATTTTTAAAAACCTGTTCATGTATCTGCTGACTTTTTCCAACAAAGGATTCTTGGTTTTGTATTTTAATTAATGTTTTCCCACCCTTGGGCTTGCTTCTCCGAGGAGGGGGCTTTCCAAGAGGCCATCTGGCAGCTGCTCAAGGTCAAAAGTGAAGCTAGCCAGTTCCTCTCAGGTGGCCAAGGTTACAGTTGACCCTTCTGGTCTGGCTAAAAATTGCTGTGGTTACTCAAGCTGGAGCTGGGGCCCATTTTCAGGCCCTTAAGAGCAGCGGGAGAGTTACTGGCCTGATCCCAGAGAGTAAGGGGCTGACACCCACCCAGGCACAGATGCAGAGATTGGGGCCATCCCTGCCATGCCAGGAAAAGCCCAGGGGAGCTTGACATCACAGGAGAAAGAGGGAAGGAAGAGCCCACCTTCTGCTGCCTTATCTTCTTCTGTATAGAGGACTCTAGACATGTGTTGACTTCTAAACTCAAGGAAGCCTGTTTTCTTTGCCTGAGGCACTGAGTCATTGCAGGTGGCAGGGAACACAATTGAAACAGGAAGGTGAGGTCAGAAAAGCTGCCAAAGAGGCCTCAGAATGGCTACAAACTCTTCAAGCACAATTTAGAACTTTCTTGAGGGAAGAGGGAACTGGAGAACAACTCCATGTGCCTCCCGGCCTTGGGTGTACTACTGTTCATGATGAGTGTGCTGTTCTGTGTGTCTGTCTCTAACCTCATCATCCACGATGCACCCAAGATGCTCTGTGATTTAACCCCACCCTCTGTGCTTCCTTCCTCAGGGACTGTGGCTCAGCCAACTGTCTCCATCTCCCCACCATCAAGTGAGGAGTTGACTTCTGGAAGTGCCACAATTGTGTGCTTTATTAATAACTTCTATCCAAAAAATATCAATGTCAAGTGGAAGGTGGATGGCGCTGAAAGTCAAAAAGTCCCTCAGAACAGCTTCACAGAGCAGGACAGCAAGGACAGCACCTACAGCCTCAGCAGCACCCTGACACTGCCCACCACAGAGTACAATCAGCATAACGTCTTCACCTGCGAGGTCTCCCAAGAGGGGGGCCAACCCATCACCAAGAGCTTCAACAAGAATGAGTGTTAAAGCCCCGGGCCCAACAGGCACCATGTCTGCCCCTTGGGCCCACCCAGCCTCAAGCTTCCTCCTCAGACCCTTAGCCCTTTCCCAGAGGGACCTACCCTGTCTCTATCTCTGTCCTCCAGCCCCTCTCCCCACCTCCCCACCTCCCCCTCCTTAGCTTTAATCATGCTGATACTTGGGGGAAACGATGAATAAAATGAATCTTTGCACCTGAGAACCCTCTCTTGATTTGTTTTTTAAGGTTATACATTGTTTTATTGTCCTATTTCTTGTGTTAGGGATTAGATATTTAGTTGTCCTAAAATGTGCCACCATTTATAAAAAAAAAAAAAATCAACTTCCATTCTACCCTACCCTACTGGCCTCTACAAGACACTCCTCCCTGAGACCACCTGACACCTGTTGATACATCCCTCCCCTGGGCCATAGTGGGTAAGCCTTCCTTCTCTGTTTTCCCTTCCCCGGGATATTTCGTGGTCCTTAACAGTGACAGTCATGTGTCCCTTAATCCAATTCAACCTAACCTGAGAACTTCACATAGCAAAATTTTCAAAAGAAGAGATCAGCTAGAAGACTCATCCATTGTTAACATGATATGCAATAACAAAACAATGAAAACAATCTAAATAAATGTGCACTAAGGAAATGTAAGTCCATCATAGTACTGGATCTAATGGAATACTGTGCCTTCATTATATTTTTAAATGTGTATTGAAGGGTGACTCCTAGCTGCCAGTGATGATACTGAGCATTTTCTACAATTTACTTTCATACTCACTAAACTGTAAGGTTAAATATTAAAATGTTGGAGGACAGGAAGGGGATAGGGGATGGGATAAAATAAAATTTAATTTTAAAAAGTAAATAAAATAAAATGTTGGGCAGTTTCCATAAAGGCTAAAAAATATACATTTTCTATACCCAGAAATCCCACTCTTAAATGACTAAGTGTCCCTGTCCACCAAAAAAAAGTATGGAATAATGTTCAAGAACCTTCATTTATAAAGCCAAAACCTGGAAATACCAAAATGTCCACTAACAATAAGAGGTCATTAAATTATGGTATGTTTACAACTGGGCTACTTTTCAGTAAGGAAAATTACAAACTACAACCCTCTCTAATAACAGAATTAACTCTCATAGACATAAGTCCCCCCCCGAAGAAAAACACACAAAAGAGTCATTGTTATAGTTTCATCCACAGAAAGTTAAAATAGAATTAGAAATTGGAAAGGGTGTTAGGTATGGCTGGGGACAGGGTAATACAGTCCTGGGAGGAGACCAGAAAGGGCATCTGGTGTTTGGAAAATACTCTGCTCTTCAGAGTGGGGTCTCTCACTTTGTGAAAATATATTCAGTTATACAATTAGCATCTGTGCACTCTTCTGTACATGTCTATATATGTCTTATACTACAAAATAATTTCATATAAAAATGCCTTATACCCAGTTTATAGGTAAGAAAGGTTGGGAGGAGTGAGTCATGGGCCAAGCCTAGATAACTGGTAAACGGAGCCCATGACCAACTCTGCACCTGCCCAGCTCTGCTTCCTTAAGCCTCACACATTCTGCCTTTCAAAGCTCCAGGTGCTGTGCAGAATGGGGTCACGAAACATGCTACCTCCTCGTCTTCCATCCACTTAGCTGGGCACACATACAGAAAAATAGAATGGAACAGATCTTTGGCAAAGGAACAAAGGACAGGAGTAGCCTTGTCCAGGTACTGGATACCCCTGCATGAAAGGTAATGTCTGGAAAGTGGGGAGAAACACGTATAACACCAAGTCTCCTCCTGTCTTCTATGTGGGACCCAGGGTTTGCCTCATCTACTTATCTACCTAACTCACACTTACTAAGCACCTTTCTCATCTCATACTCTGAAGGAAGTGCAGAAACAACTTCCCTTGTTAACTCATGATTCAGTTTTTCTGTTCTTATTTTCTTTTCTTTGGAGCATTCAGCAAGACAGTCACTAGAAAACTGCCGAGGAAGACATGTTGCCTTTCTATCTCTTGAAAATATTCATTATTATCAAATTTGGGGAAATTTGGAAGTCTGAGCTGTGTTCAGAAAATCTCAATATGACATGAATTCGTTCACCTATCTTTGGGTGCTAAACAGACTGGCAAGGGTGCCTCTAATCTGGCTATGAATCCAAAGCAAGCCTTTTCTGAGAAGCAAGACTCTGAAGCCAGATTCACTATGGCCCAAGCAGGGGAAGGCAGGTGGTGCAGGTTGAATTGTGTTCCTCAACAGGATATGTTCAACTCCTAACTCCAGATTCTCCAAAAATGTGACCTGATGTAGAAAATGGGTCTTTGCAGGTGTAATCAAGTCAAAGTGAGATCATACTGAAATGCCAGTGAGGATGTGGTGAAACTGGATTGTTCACGTATTGTTAGTGGGAATGTGAAACAATACAACTCTTGAGAATAAGTTGTCTATTTCTAGAAAAATTGAACAAAATATGTGTGCCATATGTTCCAGCAACTGCGCTTCTTCTGGTCATGTACCCCCAACAAATGAAAACTTATACACCATTGTTTTAGCAGCTCTATTTTAATAGCCAAAAAAAAAAAACCATGTCCCTCAGTGGTACCTGTTCAAACAAACCATGATATATGCATAATGTAGACTCTATGAAGCAATATTAAAGCATGTAAGAATTCGTGAAACCTTTTGGATAATTCTGAAGGGGATTTTACTCAGTGAAAAAATCCAATCTCAAAAGGTCACACACCCTATGATTGCTTTTATGTAACATTTTGAAATGATAAAATTATAGAAAGGGAGGACAGATTACAGGCTGCCAGGGACAGGGATGGTAGGGAAAGGAAAATGGTCTCAGGGGGATCTCTGAAGTCATGGAATAATTCTGTATCTTAATTGGATACATTTAGATGTGTGATAGAAGTGACATAGACGATATACACACATTGCACCAACACTAGAGTCTTGGTTTTCATGTTGTACTATAATTATTCAAGAAATACCAATTAGGAGAAACTGGGTGAAGACCACACCAGACCTCTCCATTCTACATTCTACCTTTGCAACTTTCTGTGCTCTAAGATTATATTTCAAAATAAAAAGTTAAAAAAGAAGAAGAGGCCATACTCTATTAGGGTGAATCCTAAATCTGATGTCTGATGTCTGAAGGAGATTGGAGATGCAGAGGCACAGAAGAAGAGGACCACGTAACCCTGGAAGTGATGACTGGAGTGACAGATATCAGCCAAGGGACGATTTCTTGGAGCCACCAGAAACTGAGGAAAAGATGCACCACGGTTTACCTCCGAGAGCCTCCAGAGAAGAAACCCACTCTGTCAATGCTTTGATTCCAACCCTGCCATCACCTTATCTCCACAGCTATGAAAGAAAAGATTTCTGCTGTTGTTAGCCCTGGTTTGCGGTGTTATGTTAGGGCAGACAAAACAATGCAGACAGCAGGAAAGAGAGTACCTCCTTCCACACTGATGAGCTGGGCCCAAAGGTGTCATCTCCTCAGAGACAGCTGGCCACTCCACAGCTCTGAGAGGTTTTCAAATCCAGAAAGTTCAGGTCAATGTGAATGAAATACCAATGGACAAGAGAGGTAGGCTGCTTCTCATGAGAATCAGAAAACCCTCATCTGCCATGGAGAGTGTGTAGGGTGCCATGACGGGTGGCGTGACCCTGAGCAAGTTTCTGAGTCTGTGTAGCCCTTAAAATCAAATTAAAAAGAAGAACAAATGCAAAGTGCTCAGTACATCGATACTTATTACAAGTTCAGTGAGAGGTGGATATTGAACAAAAATACACTATGCTTCCATTGATCTTCGGAGTGGGCTAACTTTAGTTTCAAGTCCTGTGGGTAGATCTAAGGCAGAAGTGAGGAAAGAGATAAAACAGAGGAAGAAAAGGAAAAGAGAAAAAAATTAAAGAGGAAGCAATAAAGAAGAGGGAGGAGAGACCAAAAAAAAAATCTATCAAGGTAAAGTAGGTGAGCCATGCTATGGCATGGTCCCCTTGACGGCAGGGTGGGTGTCCTCTCTCTAGGTCAGAGATAAACCCTCAGCATGCTGTGCAGCTTAGAGAGTGTGAGACAGCCATCATTGCAAGAGAGAAAAGCCAGGCCCACACCCATGGCACAGAGCTGGCCATCACCTATTGGATGGTAAAAAAAATTTAGATACTTTAATAGCAGCCTATAGATTACACAGAGACCACAACACAGTAGGAAAACTTAAAGCTTTCTGAAAGTGGGCAACAAGGTTAGAAAAACAATTAATGTTTAGTGTCACAAGATTGAGGCAGTCCAACTGCTAACCCATCACCTCCTCCTTCTACTCCCATTGGCCACTCACATCACCCCAATTAACTTCAGGCACATGATTTCCCCTCTACTGTCAGCAAGGCAATGAGCTACATTTGCAACCTTCAAGTCCTTTGCTACCTCTAATATCTGGACTTCAGAGTGGGACCCTCTGTGGCTTCAAGTGAGCTGTAGCTTTCCACTTATTCTCTAACAAGTCCTTGAGCAAGTCAATATGCTGAATGTATTCTTTTGGAGAAAATGAATGGAAGGAGACAGGATGATAGAAACTGAGAAGTGAGAGGAGACAGAAGAGGAAAAAGAGGAAGCAAAGGGCACCTGATGGAATATACGATATGACACAAGAAAGGGAAAGAGGAAGCAAAATGATTGCTCATTTGTCTGACTCCTTCTACTGTGCATTGGTCCGGGCACAGACTACTGCCCTTCGGTTGTTTCAGTCTAACAACTGGACCTCTGGCACAGCCCATTTGCTGTCAGGCCTTTTTATCTTCTTGCAACAGGTACACTTGGGCCAGTGCCTGTGCTGGGGAAGAAAGAAGAGGGTTTTTATAAAAGTTAGCAAGGGGGACCAAGCACTTTTACCACGCTGCCGATTGGACTGGCCATTGGAGGACCTAAGTCTAAGTCACTAGGCCAGACTCTCGGCAGCCCTCTCCCCACAGGGTGCACTTAGGGCGGCCACCAACAGGAGTCAAACAACAGGAGTAGAGCAAACTTCTACCACAAGTCTGGGGAAAGTGGAGGGTAAATGCTGGGATGGCTGCCTTTCCCACAGCACTGTATAGAAATGCCTAGGAAAGTGAGTTTGCAAATCATAATAGCAAGTTATTTGGTTTTTGTGCTTCTGTTTTCTTATCTTAAAAGTTGTTGTTAGTTGTAAGATTGTTACAAGATTGTTGT